CTGCAGCAATGAGTCTGCCTTTTTGTTTTTATCCTCCCAGACAAGTCTGGTACCAATTAACCGACCCCGGAGGGATGGAAGGCTTGGTTGGCCCGGGCGACTCACGACCCAGGATTTGATCCCCGGACCGCTCGCGTGGTAAGCGCGCCACTTGCCACTACACCACTTCCGCCCCTCCCTTGTAGGAGGGAATGAAATCAAATGAACTGGCTTATACAGCGGCTCCGTCTCCCTTTCTGGGTACTTACGATTCTGAACAGTAGGTCAGCAAAAGGCGTGGTCAGTAAGAAAATTTATACTAGTACATGACCAAATAAGATTTCCATTTCTTTCACACTGCTTAAAACCGTTTGAAATGGAATCTGAAGCAATCGTCTTCTATCTTTCTGTTATGAATTTCAGAAACAACATCTATGTTACTGAGTATTCACGAAGGAGCTGCATTCATTTGCCATTAAGTGAAGGGTTAAGTAAAGGTTCTAAGAGATTCAACATTCTTCTGGAATAATTTGAGTCATTCACCACCAGTTATGTGGGTCCCTCTCTTACTGGGGCGTAGAAAAAGTTAGGCAACCGTAAGAAATCTGTTTTCATATATCTCAAGAGCAACGAATGGGACATTTAATCTTCCTAGTAACAGAAAATCAACAACGAACAAGCAAACAAGCATAACGATGACATTACATGATCGAAATAAATAATCAAATTTGTATTCCGAAAAATCACATATTAAACTGAACTTGACAAGAAATCACACTACGCTACGAAGTTCAAGACTGTGTGTACTAAAGCTGGAACTAAATTTCCAGTCTATATTTCAAGTGCAAATATTTCAAAACGTTGACCCTTGAGGATACATAAGACCGCGCCAGCGTTTCTAAGTGTAATAAAGCACACAAGCAACGTACAAATTTTCAAACGGTAACCTTTATCCTTTGAAGTGAAGGTGGGTGCTTTGAGAATGCGTCTCTTGCTTGGCGGAAAGCTCGTTGAATACGTTCCATTACATAACTCTTCGTAACGCACCTACAACCATATGAATAAGACTGTTGGTCAAATTCCATATGTATTTGGTAAATACTGGGCAAACGTTTCTATCATATAATTAATTTGACTTCGAGTAAAGAAAGTGAAGTCGCCTAACCATAAACAAACCATCAGAAAGTACCAACAAATTTTAGACATGGGATTAAGCCAACTTGGTGCGGATTATTTCCCCGATAAATGCTACTAGAAGTATCACGAATTCTTAAGCGAGTGGATCGCAGATTCATATTGCAAAAGAATCAATTAAAGGAAGCGATTACGATAAGAGAAAGCGCATCGGGGAAGCATGTGCACCACACGAATCAGTTACTTGGCTGCCAGGGAAGCGAGATGTGGCGCTTTCACAACGAAAGGTGCGCTGGTTGCTGAGCAGGACTTCGAAAGCGCTCCGCCCCAAAAACGGATCCGCCCACTAACATACTTGTTGATGTTGAGCGAGCTGCGGGGCCAGTAGCAGCGAATATGGAGCATCTCGATTGAAGCGTAATTTGACATGGTGCCATCAAACGCGTTGCGGTGAACTCGTTCATGCGCTCCATTCTGAGTGGCTACGCTGTTCATGATGTGAAAACCAACCGGCCAAAATGGGGCGTCCCATGTTCGTTTCTTGACAATTTCCGCGCTTTTTTGTCGCGTGCAGGGGTACCGACTAAGCACCACCATCGTACAACTGAAACCTTCTCTGAATGTATCGCAATTGCTGCCTTTGAATGAGCACCAAATTCACAGTCATCGAGCCGGAACCAACCAATCGTCTCTCAAAGCGGCTTTACAAAACGCATTGCCAACGGGCGTTAATCAGATTGCGACCGTCTGAGTAAGGCCGTACGAAGACGCGAAGTATTCGCGATAAAACTGATGCATTAATTATTTTAAGAGTAGAAAAAAACAATGGAAGATCAAACAAAAACCTTGCGGTGTTATTTCGGTCGAAAGGTTCCTCAATAAAAACTCTATAAATGAATGAATCCGGTGACATTGTGTGCCTAAAAATTGGACTTTGAAAATAACTTTCACGTAAGCAAAACAGTAACGTATAAACCGTTCACCTGGGAAAAACGTGTGCGTCGCGTATAGATATCGCTATATTTTCAAAATCGAATGAAGCGTAGTAGTAGAAAAACCCAACTAATAACTCTCCAATTGTCTGTTTATTCATAGGTCGTTCTGAATGTTATATACATTGAATTGAACAGCTGCTCCAGTAGAATACAAACTATGTAGACTTTCAAGTCTTACAGTGACATGGGAGAGGTCGAAACACTCTAAGGCTCTTTTTAATGCGGAGTGTTGCCAAATTTTCTCGGAAGCAATGCTGCAAAAAATTTAATTCAGAGTTCAATCGTCGACGTTTACAATCAAATCCGAGACTCTTTACCTGGAGGTTCGGTAACACCGCCGGTTGAACTCCACATTGGAAGTAATGCAATACAAGTAGAATCAGGGAATAGCTGCAACGTACCAACATAAAAGTCTGATCGAATTGAAGAGAATAAAAATGAAAGGTTAGAAGGATATGAATCAAGGGATAAAGACACATCAAAGGATAAATATTGTATTATGTCAAGCGTTCTTCCCATGCGCCACATTTTAGCAACGCTGTAAGTTTGTGACAAGCGCACGAAAAAAAAACAAGATTATGAGCTGATAGCAGTCTCAATAAAGAACCTCTTCAGTATGGACTATTTCAAAAAGAGAAGTATGGGGTGTTGGACGCGGTTTCATGCCATGCATGTCTAGTTCCGATGCTTTATATCAAGTAGAAACTGATAGGAAGATTTCGTGAGGCACCACCTATTAAGCAGATAAACACCAACAAAGCTGACGACTGCTCTTGAAGTCGCACATGTGATATGAGAAAATTCAAAGGATAAACTACATAAATAAAAGATAACCATAAACTGCAAATATGAATGAATGATAATTATAAAAAAGAAGTCAAGCCACAATATAAAATAAAAAAGATGAGAGGAATTCTGCTGACCTATTGAATGAACCGGTTGCAGCATCTCCTATTCCATTCGTGATTGCCCAATGTTTCACCAAAAGACACACAGCGGGAAATCGTTGGTCCAAGCTGCAATCAATATCACACAATCAAGTATGTGAAATCTTAAATGACTGAAGGGAGTTTTCGAAATTTTATCGATTTAATACTGTAGAAAGTCCGAAAAAGTCCAAATTAAAATTCACTTTAGGAGTATCGATACAAATTATTTATTCTAAAATGAATAAGAAGTCAAACTCACAGAGAATAGTAATGAATCAAATGAGAATTGTAAATGCCAGCAGTGTTGTTGACATTAATGTCTAGATCAAGCTCCTGATACGGTGGATGTAACGCCATTTTGATGATAGGAACCTGAAAAACTGACATTCATCACAAGAGTCGAGGTGTTCACATGAGAAAAATGAAGAGGGATAAGCAAAAGGCACTGATATGTGCGCTTGGAGAGGGGTAAAAATTTGTGGCATGGTATTGGTTAGTTCACTCCTCTGAACTCTGTTCACCAATTTGAATGAAACAAACAAACGGAGAAAAGTTGGAGATCCTGTAGTCGGAGGCCATTTGCTTTGGAACTAGATGTGAATTTGAACGCTAATTTCGCGCAGTTGTGAAGCGGGAAAGTGCAGCGGTAATATTTCGGGCAAGCAAACAAGAGCTCGTGGTATTGGAGCTGAAACTCCATAAACACTTGCGCTAACTACATTTAAAGTATGCGAGGTTCTGTCAGCATGCAGAGCACTTTTTGCCTATAATGCCATGAAACCCGTAACACATGCGTCATGCATTTTCATGACCATATAGTAAAATATATTTTAATGCCAGAATGCCGAACTCAAACGGGAACTTCTAGACAAATCTTAAATTTCGTCGAAATTTCACGCAACGTGGAAAAGTGGGGCAGTCCACTATTGACCGACCCATCGCCCAAGTGTGGTGGTAGGAAAGAAACAAATGTTCAGACTACTCGTCTTTTTTTGGAAAAAAAGGCTGGCTTGCTTGCCTGCATTATTCGAAAGTTTACAAGGCATTGCCTTCAAATGCGCATGTTCACCGTATCCATATTAGGTCGCCCCTAGGGTTACTAGCTGGGATAGCACTAGACGTTATTCCGCTTCTTCACAGTGGTCCGAATCTCACGATCAGACATAGCTAACAGGAAAGAAAGTCTGACTTCCTCAGCATGATTATCACTTTTTAAGCTTGGAAATGCTGGCACCGCCGGCAATGCTATACAGCGTCATGAGCAATAGTGGGCAAGCAGGATCCGGAAATATCGACGTTACCCTCACATTCTTGATATGAGCAACTGCGGGTGACCACTGACTAAGTAGCGAGGTGCTGAACCTTTGAGCGACGCTGTTCGACAAAGCGAAAAACCAAATATCTAGAAAAATTAACCCCACTGCCTCACACGTCAAACGCCACTACCAATCGCGTTGTAGTTCAACGATATGTTGCCACTCACAACACGCTCCCATGGATCGCAGAGTTAAAAACACCTAGCGGTTCACGTCTCAGCACAAAGAGCTACTTCGACTAGGGACTACACTTTTCTCAAGTAACTATATAGAAAAGAATCAAGCCAAAGCCCTATAAATTGCGAAACAAAACCCAGATAAGCAAGAAAACACCACTCACCTTAGCAGGAATAACTTCACTCTTCCGAACGACCTGTCGTAAGGAAGGCTTCCCCCTGATTACGGTATTCAATCGGCGCAGTGTCTTTATTGCTGCACTGAAATGATTTTCACATAGTCAGAAATCCAATCCATTCATAACAAGGGAACACTGCCCTCCAATTTTAGTTAGTTAATAATCTACAACAAGTACAAGAAAGAACAAACATTCGTTCAGTGGAATAGACGAGTTCCATGTCCATTGGGATACAAGACACAAATCCATGTCCGAATTATAGCTTCCACAGCCGTTCACTGTTGACCCCACAGCAATGAGCTCGATGGATTTAGTGGGGAATAGCTAAAGGAGTCATAATTGTGGGGAAAAACTAAGAAGCTGCCAGCAAATTTCAATTATTGTTAAAAAGAATTACCGGCTTAAACTCGGCCAGTAAACGATTTCGCACTTCCATTTTCCAGTTGTAAACTTCTTCAGTCTGAAAAATAACAGTTCAGCACACACAATTCAGTAATTGTGGTCGCAGTTAAAAGTCAAATGGATGCACTAAACTAGGGTGGATTATTCGCTCAAAAACGCACAAATGCATGTCTGGACAGTTACAAGGAACTAGATAAAGAAAGGAGATTACCTGTTTATTGCATTCGTAATGTTTCCATATTTCTGCATCGAGAACCTTGAATTCGTTTGGGTACCTCCCCCTGAAATAGTATAATAGAGAAAACCTAT